GTATCAAATAATATTCTACTATTCAGAAACTTGTTTTTGTTTTTTTCTGTTTGAACATTCTCCTCGATTTGTCCGTGTAAATCAACATTTATTGATTTTCTATTATCACTGCATGATAGCAAAGTAGGATAACTAAGTATAAAAAAAATAAATGATTTATCGCATTCAAGTTTGTGTATAACAATACGTAAAGATTATAATTAAGTAAACGGCCAGAGTCTTTTAATTAACTAATGAATTTGCAGATATATCTAATAAAGATATTTATGTCTCTTGTATTTATATCGCATTACTTTCCAGTGCCTTTTGTTTTTGGTTGTTTTTCCTGAAGGCAAATTAACAAACATCGTAGTATATGATCACAAAAATCAATTAACAAACATGTTAGAAAAAATCCTACAAAAATAACGATGAAAGTACTTATTTAAATCCTATGTCTTCATACAAAACAAATAAAAAATAAAACAAAAAAAAAACAAAATTCAAGAAATGTTACTAAACTCTTACAATTGAAGATCAACATGCCTTTAAAAAAATATATATATATATATTGAAAAAAGATGTACCTGATAATCAAGAGGAGTGGAAACCCAAAATCGATACTTTAATATGCCAACCGCTTGCACTGGAAATACCTAACCATGAATTTGATGCTTGAAATCAATATATTAGAGGCTATATGTAGTGTAGACATAGGAAATAAGAATTGATAAGAATACAAAGAGATATTGATAAGAACATTAAAAGTATGTTTATCTTAATTTAAGTTGCTTAAAGTACGTAACTTTGGGTAGGAAATAAGAATCCTATAATATTAAGAATTCTTATAGGAAATAAAACCATAATCGTCCAAATAATTTTGGGTAGGAAATAAGACCTTATATGACCCGTACTATGCACGTATATAAACCTGTACGTAATAAATTTACAAATGCATTATCAAGATAGATTTTACCGACCTTAAAAGACCACCTCCACTATATTGAGTCCTTTAAGTGCATGGACTCCTATGATGTGGGTCCACACACGAAATGCTCCCCACCATCTGGGTAGAGATGTATTGTGATTAAGGAATTATTAGCAGAAATATATTAAAAAAAAAAAGACGGGCTGAGGACATTATGGACGGAGGCCTTTCTCTTGGATTGGAGGACACTACGGACGGAGGGTCGGATAGGGGCCTTCGGGGTGCAAAACTTCAACAAATATCTAATGTTTTATCTCATCTTTCTTTAGCTATGATAATGAGATTTTATTTCTTTGGTTGATGACACTCCATTTTCTTTATGGATTTTTCCAGAATTTTTCAATCAGATGAAATGCCATTTCTCTTTGTACATCAATTATGCATGGGGACTGTGAGTCTTGTAAAAACTTTCTCGGGCTAACTTTCTTTAATTTTCATGTCTAGATTGTTTGTATGTTGTTCTATATATGGGTAGATTATCTTAAAATAAAAAGGATCTATGATGAAACTGTTAAAAAAAAAAAGAATAGGACACTATAAAAAAAATATTATCATTTATTCCTATATATCTAATAGAGGAGATTTATGTCTCTTTTATTTATATTGCATTGCTTTCCAGTTCCTTTTTTGGGTAGGAAATAAGAATCATATAATATTAAGAATTTTTATAGGAAATAAGAATTGATATATATCCAAACAAAAAAGGAGCAAGCCACGTAGGAAACTACTTGCCATCTCGTTAAGCCACGTAAGAAAGAGAAAATATGAAGGGATAAGTATGAGAATACGACTTTATTATATATATATATATATATATATATATATATATGATAATTGATAGGGTTATTATCACTTCACCCCCTTAACGTTTGGTACTACTATCAATTTTCCCATTAAAATTAGTTTTTAGTCACTTTACCCCCAAGACTAACGGTCAAACTTAACGGAGTTTGTTAATTAAAGTGAAAAGACATATTTAACCCTTAAAATTATTATCACTTTACCCCCATAAAATATAGTCTCATTATCAATTTACCCCCTAGAGTTATTTTTTAGGCAATTTATCCTACCATTAAACCAACTTAGCAAGTTAAAAAACTTTACAAGAAAATACCCTCCTCTTTGCATAATAAAAATAATAAAAAAATTTAGAGTGACTCTTCTCTTTTTTAGTATAAAAAAAGTCAAAATATTAATTTTTTTCTTCTTGGCAATCTATTTAATATTGAAAAAAAATAGAAAGATGGGGAGAGGGAAGGGGGTGTGGGAGAGAGAGAGCTCAATTCTTTTTTTAAAAAATTACAAATAAGAAAGAATTAAATACTTTTATTATTTTAAAATTATTTCACTTTTTTGTTTACCACCAAATTCCAATTCTAATCCCGACAACCTTAAAGTAATACAATAATGTTAGACTTTTCTTTATTTATTTTTTTTTTGCAAAATCTAATTTTTGTCTCCTTCTTTTCTATCTCCTTTTCTTTTTCTAGTATTAATAAGTGTGAAAAAAGAAATTTGAGAAAACCCTTTTATTTTTATGTTTTTCGATCTCTTAAAGTAAAAAAAAGGAAGAATAACCATTCCAACTTTTTATTTTTAATTATATATAAAAAAGGGTAAATATATTTAAAATTTTTTGACCATACTAGTTAGATTAATGATGAGGTAAAATATCTAAAAAATGATGTTAGGAACTAAAGTGATTGTATCACTATAATCCAAACGAATAAAGTGATAATAACAATGTAGTAATGCAATAAAATAAAAGGGTATTTTTGTCCAAAATTTCTTAACATGTTGAGTTGAATTATTTATGGGGGTAAAGTGACTAAAAGATAACATTAGAGAGTAAACTGATAGTAGTGATATAGTTTAAGGGGGTAAAGTGATACGAGACGCGGAAGCTACTTCGGATCTAGAGGAACACGATGAAGATTTGACGGAGTTGAACCCGAACTTGGACCACTCAAGAACAGATTTAACGGTAGAGGACGCCACAATCAAGTATGTGTGCTTGATTGATAAGTCAAGAACAGCCTAGGATCAACTCTAGGATGTTCAACTTAGCTTTTACAAGCTAAGGGAATTTCCCACAAGGAATGGACGAAATTCTGGAAATTTTATTCAATACTCCCCCGTACGGCTCAGCGAGGGTACTTAACTGCGGCTCAGCCCGCCGTTTGGAGCTTGAACACTCGCATCTTCAATTGTAAGCAGCATTTTAGTTGTCGTGCAAGGATATTCCAACTCAATTCCTTCAATGCCCGGTTTCTCTTGGGTTTGGATGGCACGTACCAAGGCTTGGAGGGACTCCTTGAATCTCTTAGCTCGTGCTCGTGTCACTGGGCCTTGGGGCACCTTCACAGGGTTTACTTGTACACTTTGGGCCTCGTGCTCAACCGCATCATAAAGTAATAATTATCCTAATTGATATGGCTGCACATTATTTGGGTCAATTACTTTATTGGGGAAGACAAGTCCCCCCACATTAATATCTAATTCATTTCCCAACCAACCCCAGCAACCCCACCCTCCAAAAAAAAAAAAGGTGGTATACTCTGATGCCACAACCACCAGCCGTGGCCACCACCAATGCATTAAAGCTTATCTCCCCACCAATTTACTACAATTAAATGTGGCCTTGTTTAAAAAATTCAGGTGGGTGCGTAGTGCGCCCGTCTGATCCGGTGGTGGTTCAGTCCCCTCCGAGTTACTCTAGGATCTCTTCAGACCCTCCCCCTCCCCCTCCCCATAGTGTAGGAAACTATCGTATCGACCAAAAAAAAGAAAGTATACTCTAAAGCCACCACTCTTTAAGGATGGCAATTTTAAGTAAAAGAAGAAATGCAACATTCTAGTCTAGATTAAATTAAAAAAAAAAGATTACTTGCTAATATTGAAGCAAGTTTTATAATTTTTAATATAAAAAGAAGGAATTTTATTACTAAGATTACTAGAAATCATCCAACAGAAAATGATTGACAAAAGTTGGAAGAAAATTCCAAAGGAATTCAACATAATCAGATGATTTGGCATAAGGAACTAATCCATGAGTAACTTTGCTTACACCCAATTTACATCAATAGAGCTATGATTTGGCATAATGAGCCAATCCACGAGCAATTTTGTTTGCACCCAATTTAGATCAATAGAACTATGATCTGATAACCTATTCTAATATCATTAATCAAAGGTTCGGTAGCATCCTCAGAAGAGGGCACATTTTGAATGATTCCCAGTGCATCACCTTCGAGAATAAATTGGGAGATGAACAAGTTTTTAGCCATAAAGATAGCTTTCTTAGCAGCAATTGCCTTAGCCACTTCCGGAGTAACAATACCACGAAATAAGCAAGTCAAAATGTTAATACAACTTTAAAGGATGAATTATTGCAAAAAGAAGTTTAAGATGCTTGTTCTTCTAGCATCACAATTGCAAACTCTGCTACAGTTATAATTGATTATTTGTGAAAGGAAATTGAAAATGAGATTTAAGAGGCGGGGCAGTTGGCTGTTGTCCTGTTACATGTTATCTGATAGCGGTCAAAATAGTATCCAATTCCAAACACTGGAGAAAAAGCACATCCTAACCCCGGAATCTAGGACGATATCAATGAACTCCAGACTTAATTAGTCTATTAAAAAGCCAACAAGGTTACTTTCTTTGATCGTTAATTCAGATTTTCTGGAAGAATTAATTTGTGTACTAATGGTTTTTGTCAAGACTGAACTTAGAAAAGGGGGAAGAAGTTTGATTGACCAAATTCTATTGATCAGGTTTCAAAGAAAAATGGCATGGATTTTCCTATGCTCAATTCTTCTTTTGATCCTATTTCTTCTTCTTCAAAAAACCAAGAAAAGAGAAAAAAATTCGTGGTCCACCAGGTCCTCCAGGGCTTCCTTTCATCGGAAACTTGCACCAATTTGATAGTGCAAAGCCTCATGAATACCTGTGGAAACTATCCAAGAATTACGGGCCTCTCATGTCTTTAAGGCTTGGTTCTGTGCCAGTAGTTCTGATTTCTTCATCGAAAATGGCAAAAGAAGCCCTGAAAACCCATGATCTTCTATTCTATGGATGGCCAGCATATGTTAGCCATAAAAAATTATCATACAATGGCCTGGATGTTGCATTTCCACCTTATGGTGAGTATTCAGGGAAGATGAGGAAGATTTGCGATCTTCATCTCTTTAGCCTCGGTCAAGTTCAATCCTTTTCGCCAATTATTCAGGATGAAATTTCCCACTTAATACAGAAGATATCAAATCTTTCTTGTGCATCTAAAGTAATCAATTTAAGTTCGATTATGATGTCGCTTAGTAGCACGATAATTTGTCAAATTGATTTTACAAGAATCTCAGGGCATGATGGGAGGGTTTTTCATCTCTGATCACCTTCCTTCATTGAGCTGGATTGATAAGCTCTCAGGGATGTTTGCTCGTCTAGAGAATAATTTTAAGGACTTGGATTTGTTCTACCAAGAGCTCATAGATGAGCACCTCAATCCCAATAGGCCAGAAACAATGAAGGATGATGTTCTTGATATCTTGATCCAGATAAAACAAGAACAATCATCAGGATTTGCACTTTCTTGGGATCACATCAAAGCATTGCTCATGGTAATTCCCTTTTTATTGTAATACAATACTTTGCTTCTCATTCTTTTTGGCCATTTTTTCTAGGACAACCTACCTTTTGTTCTGCCAAAGGTCTAAATTTTGGCAATCAATTAAATTTTGCATCATCGACGTGTTAATCAATTAATTTTTGCATCATCTTTTGTCACTAGACGTGAAGAAGTGTTATTTTGTGGTCATTAAAATTTTGTTTGCGATGTTAAGATAGGATTCATCACAGGAACACCAACAAACATTTCAATGCTTGTTTCGTTTGCCTCAGTTATAACCAAGCCAGCCAATTCTGAAGTGGTAGTTGTGATTGGCATAAATAACAATTCAACGGACATTAGACAGATTCCTAAGCAAGTGTTTTGCCTAATTCACGGGAGTGTTTGGTTAGAATGATAATATAGCTACAATTTAACAGGTGCACAGTCAAATCGATACAAACAAGGATTCAACAAGTAAAACTTAGACCTTTTTACTTATTATTTTGGGACATGGATACTCCAAATAGGGAGGCCGAAATGGGAGCCGGGAGGCTTGAGAGTGGGCCTGGGAGACCTAAAATTGTTTATCCCACAGGTGTTTATCATAAAACACCCAATGATTGTCTATCCATTCATTTTTCTTTTAGTTATGTTGAATCCCCAGAAAGAATCACCATGATTGATATTTACATCCTTTGGTTTACTAATTTCTACAATGCAGAATATATTCATAGCTGGAACAGAGACAAGTGCAGCCACAGTTGTTTGGGCTATGACAGCCCTGATGAAGAATCCTTCAGCATTGAAGAAAGTACAAGCTGATATTAGAGATTTGGTTGGACAAAAAGGAGCTGTAGTAGAAGAAAAACTTCAGAAGCTTCACTATTTAGATGCAGTAATAAAGGAAGCTCTAAGATTGTATCCCACTGCACCAGTTCTAGTGCCAAGAGAAACTATAGAAAATTGCAACATAGAAGGCTAATGGGCCATATCTAGAGACCCTGAAAGCTAGGAAAGGCCAGATGAATTCATTCCTGAGAGATTCTTGAGCAATACTATTGATGTCAGGGGAAATGATTTTGAAGTGATTCCATCTGGAGCTGGAAGAAGAGGATGCCCTGGAATTTCTCTAGGACGGTCAATTGTGAAACTTGCACTCGCCAACCTTCTTTATTCCTTTGAATGGGAATCGCCGTCCGGGATCAGAACAGAAGATGTTCATACCAACGTTTTGCCAGGAATAACTAGAAAAATGCGCTTTGAGTTTTGGCCAAGTAATATCTCGATCAAAGCTCTTAACACCGCAGAGAGTGAACATTAACGGCATGTATTTTTCTTTCTTTTCATCCTTTTTTTTCGTGTTTTACAGACTACTCGTACTTTATAGAAAGTTATCTGTGAACAAAACAAAAGTTTGCAAGAAAGTTATTGATGGTAAATAGACAGTATTAGTTAATGGTGTAATGCTACATGATTCACCACTTGCGGCCTTCATTTAAATGAATACCAAAAGTTTCTGGCGGGTCATTCATATTCCATGAATTGTGTAGTTAAATCCTAAAAGCACAGGAAACAAAACAGTTCATTCAAAATCATGGAAAACGGTCTACCAAGCCACCCACCTCAACCACCCCCCAAACCCCATTAAAAAAAACATAAATAGAAGTGGTCTTCTTCTGAAACGTCATAGCAATCTTTTATCTCATCTCTTTAACATCATACTTCCTTCAATATTCAAGGGTAACATGATCATGTGAATACGAGACAATACAATAGGAGACTTTCTGTTCAAGCGTAACAAAGATCATGTGAATCCGAGAGAATACAATAGGAGCCTTCAGAAATCCAAAATATATATAAAAGTTATCAAGCTTTTGTGTCTCGACCTATAGTTAAAAGTTTATACAAGTAGAACAAACTTCCCTTGCACAGATAAGCAGAGCAAAATCAACTTTATGAACCAAAAAACAAGCAGAAATAAAAACCATTGCAGGTACAGCACCTTAAAGTCAACCTATTATGCATGTGGCATCACCTTGTATTATCCTTCCTAAGCCATCCGAGATCAGCTCAGTTAATTTTCAAGTAAGCATCTGTATAAAGTAAACACCTTTTACAAGATGCCTATGTTATCTAGACAGTAGTTACTTGTGTACTTGATGGACAACCCCAAACAAGAAGATTAAGAAGACATAGCCCTTTCTAAAGATGGTCATCCAAACCTTTCACATGAAAGGGAATGAAAACGCATGCAAATTGGGGAAGGAACTAACATAGAGATGGATTAGGATTCACTAAATCACATGCAAAATCTGCAAGGATAGATAAAGTTCACTACATCTTTCAAATCTTAAGTTCCATGGTTCAAGAAATTACACTAGTTCTTTCAAAAATTAAGTTTAATTATCAAATACTACCAAAACTTTAAGCAGCTAGATGCACATTCAAAAGTTGTTTCACCAAAACAACAATATACCACAATGTAAAAGATGGTAATCTAATCAAAGAGGGACATTCCAAAGTCCTCATCATCACTCTCCTCCTTCTTCTCCTCTCTCTCTTCCTTAGCTGGAGCAGCTTCAGCAGCTGGCGCACCACCTGCAGGAGCAGCAGCAGCAGCAGCTCCACCACCAATGAAACCACCACCACCACCACCACCACCACCAATGACAACCTGTCTCAAGATAAGATGATCCTCACAAGTTAGTTGAGCAATAAAAGCCTAACCAAAACTTGCATTACTACAAGCAACACATTACTACAGACCAACCCCAACATTCAGACTACTTTTTGTCCTATACAAAGTACAACCTGTTAAAGAAAAATAAATAAGAGACCAGTTCTATCATGCTCCAGCTATAACAACACAGATTCATCAAAGCTCCAGGAAAATAGAAACAACATTATGCAAATTCCTCAATGCGTTATTAGCAGAACTTTTGCATAATACAAAACTGCCCTATCTCTTATCTAATCATAGTACCAATTCTTAGCAAATATATATAAATACAATTGCATCAAGACGGTAAAACAGCAATTCTGGAGCATAACAAATTTAATCAGGTATAAAATGCTGAAACGCAAAATCTATTCATCCTATTGTGTTACAATCCCTGCTACTAGTGACCATATCTTGTTGACTTACTCATTTTACCACACTGGAAATAGCAGTCCCTAACTCTATCTACCATATTTACGGCCAAAGAGAAAAAATTCAAAGTCTAATTCAGAACAATTTACTTAATCGGAAAAGCACAAAGTCTAATTCAGAACAATTTGCTTAATCGGAAAAGCACAAAAGAAATACATTTTCCAATTTGGAAAAATTATCAGTATACTCAACAAGAAAATAAAGAGAAAAATTCAAGTCATCATCATTACTATGCACTTCTAACAAATGATTCTCCCATCTAATTTATAAGGCAGACAAGAAATTTCAAAAAAGAAAAAAAATTCTAGAACTTTATTCAATAAATCGACTAAAATCTCGAGAAAACTTAAATAAAAACTTAATCCTGATTAACAAAATCTTAACATTCATCATTAAGCAATGTACAGAACGACTAGATCATCTACTAAACATGTTCAACCTTCGAAATAAAAGCAAATTCCTACACAAAAAAAGTACAAAAGAATAATAATAAAAGGGGACCTGGAAAACAGCGGAGGAAGGTGTGATGAAGGAGAAGGAAGACTGAACTCCACCAGCGGAATCGGCAGCAGTGGCGGCTTGAACGAGCTTGCGCTGCAGCTCGAAAGTGGAGGCGGCTGAAGCCTCAAGATCGCCCTTGAGTTGCTTGGCGCTCCAGTCGCCGTCGGATCCTTTGACAACAAATGTATAAACTCCCATTTCTTCTTCGTCCTCCTGATTCTCAGTGTGTGTAGTGCGTGTGATTTTGCGATTAGAGTTTGAGGACGCAGCCAAAAGTGGTGGTCGGGCGCTTTTTGTATGAGCAGACGAACGGGAAACCCTAGTTCTACGATTTTGGGTGGGGTTTTGGATTTTATCGGTTTAGTGAAATGACGATTTTGACCTTGAGCTTTTGTGGGTTGTTGAGTTGGGCTTGAGTTCAGGGGAAACTGGATATAGTTGAATTTTGATGCCACTTAGTCTGAAATGAGATGGCTTGGGCCTAAGCTGAATCTGCCAGTACAGATTAAAGGCCTATTCTTTTCTCTCTTTTTTTCTTTTCTTTTTTTAGTTTGTGTTCTATTTCTTGTATGATCTTTGGCTCTCTTATAATGCTATCTCCTCCAGAAGGAAAAGAATAGAAATTGCTAAATTATTTGCTACTCTGGCTCCAGGAATGGCTGGTCCTTCATATAGATTTGAAAGGCGAAGCAAATTGCTTGATACCTGAATCAAGGTCGACTAGGTTGGAGCTTAAAAATTAATCAAAACACGAACAACATTTATTTGTTCAATAAAATCTCAAATTAGACTTAAGTTTGGCTTGATTAGCATAATATTTTGGAATTTACATCATAAATTTCTAATTATTCGAATTCAAATTGATAAAAACTCATTTGAAGTTTGGATCAATATATGTACAAGTTAAATTTGAAAACAATTTCGAACTTGTTAAAATAGACAAGCAAATTTAAACACTAAACTATACGGTTTGATTAAACTCATTTATACACCTAAGTATTCATCGAACCCTACTATCTATCCCTAATGAGGTTGGGCTTTCTTGAATGGATGTGAAATTTGCTTTTTTAAATGGCTTTTTTGAAGAAGAGGCATATGTTGAGCAATCTGCAGGTTATGTTAGAATGGGTCAAGAAAACAAAGTATATAGATTGAAGAAGGTGTTGTATGGGTTAAAACAATCTCCTAGAGTTTGGTACACCCATATTAATATTTATTTTGTTAAGCATGATTTTCTAATATGCCCATATGAGCGTACTTTATACATCAAATTCAACCCTGGAGGAGATGTTCTTATTGTATGCTTGTATGTGGATGACTTAATATTTACAGGCAACAATCCCAAACTAATTTTTGAATTCAAGGAGGCTATGATCAATTAGTTTGAGATGACAGATTAAGGATTCATGTCTTATTTTCTTGGTATTAAAGTTCGTCAATTGGATGGTGGAATGTTTATTTCACAAAGAAAGTATGCAGGTGATATTCTAAAGAAATTTAAAATGGATGTAGCTAAACCAATGATGATCTCAGTTGAAGAAAATTTGATATTGACCAAAGATGGCATTGGTGATTCTGTTGATGCTACTTATTTCAGGAGATTAGTGGGGAGTCTTAGGTACTTAATTTCTACAAGACTTGACATCACTTATCGAGTTGGTTTGATTAGTAGATTCAGGGAATCTCGACGCCAATCTCACTTACAAGCTGCTAAGAGAATTTTGAGATATGTTCAAGGTACACAGTATATTTTATTCATCTTGACATGGTAGCAACCTTGTTGGATATACTGATAGTTTGGTGACACAATACAAAGAAGGAACACTTCTGGTTATGCATTTTATTTGGGTTCTGGTATATTTGCTTGGTCTTCCAAAAAACAGCAGGTGGTTGCTTTGTCCACAGTAGAAGCGAAGTACATTGAAGCTGCGAGTAGTGCTACTCAAGCACTTTGATTAATGAGAATGCTTGGGTTTTTACAACATAAGTAAGATGGTCCTGCTAAAATACTTTGTGATAGCATGTCTACTATTGAGTTGACACAAAATCTTGTTTTCCATGCACACGACATCAAGTCATTTTATTCATTAGTTAGTTCAAGATCAAAAGATTGTCATTGACTATTGTAGAAGTGAAAATCAAGTAGCTGGTGTTTTGACAAAACCACTCAATTTGGAGATGTTCATGAAGTTGAAAAAAATGCTCGGCATGGTGAAGTTTGAAGATCTTGATTTAAGGGAGACAATATAGGAAATAAATCAAGATTATTATTATTATTATTATTATTATTAGTTTCCATATTGTTTGCTCCTGGTCTCTTTGTTATGTCAGTAGAGGTTTTTAAATCCAAATCCAATTGTATAATTGATTCCTTTGCAGTTCGGGAACTATGCTTTAGGAATCTTAGCTGTGTGTGTTAGTCCACGCTCTACTAATGTATTGAGAGTTAAGAAATTGAGCAATAAAGTCAGAGAATTGCCTCCCTGTGGCCGTGCGTATTTCTTGCTCTTGGCCCGCGCCGCTGTCTTTTGTTGTTTCTGCTGCCTACTCAATTCGGGTTTGTGAGACTTATTTGTTGTTTTCCTGTGGGTAAATTTCCTGCAGCTTGCTTGTTTTTTGGTTCGTAAGTTGATTTTCCTCTGCTTATCTGTGCAAAGCAAGTTTGTTCT